AATGCAGGAGATGCAATGCTCCTTGAGAAACACTCTCACACATCTCAGGAAACTGTCCCTTCATTAATAATGCCCGCATAATAAAACAGTGGAGAAACTTCACCAGTTTGTTGGTAAATACAGCTAGATGATGTACTTGGAGCCAAGGATAAAGGATAAGGAAGGAAAACTATGGAAGCCAGAGCTCAACTTCAAAAAGGACTGAAGAATCACCCTAATGGGTGTGATGGTATGTTTTGAACACACCCAGAAATCCTTGGAGAGGACCTGGACCAAGAAGACCTCGATGTATGATCATCAGGACCAAGAAATCAAAAATTTGACACAACGAGCTGAACCCTCATTCTTTGGATTCATCTTAGCGGCACGAGGAAAGTGGTTCAAGAAAATCAACTGTCTAATGCATTTTTTGGGCATTCAGAGATACAAGTCCTTTGCCCAAGACTTATCCAGACTCACCATCTCCCCGATGCTAGAACTTCTACAGATATTCAGCAACAGATGAAGACTACAAATTATTGCCCAGCACAAGCTGAGTATCCACCCACCTCCCGTGCCAAGGTGTGATGGGCCTTCCAAGGCCACTTTGATGTGGGCACCTACACAAGGTATGTTTAACGGTGGTGGATAAGATAGTTATTTTAGTGAATTAAATTTGAATAAAGTTTCATGGTTGTATTGTACTGTTGTAAGGTTTTACTATGCACAAAATGTTTTTGGCCGTGGCCAACCAATTGGAAGGGTCTGCCTTGCTCTACATTTCCCATTGCACGGTGGTTGTTTTAGAGGATCATTGCTTGGTGTATTGTCCTGGGCCCCAGGATGCCCCTAGACCATCCTCCTTTAGATCCTGTCACTGTGATTTTGCGCCATGGAAGTTTCCAAAATGTCAACAAGTGACATTAAAACTCAAATAAGGCCCCCTCAGAGTGTTTCAAAACTGCTAGGGAGTGAACATCACAAGAAAGCAAGAATCAAACCACCTCCCTTTAACATTCATTCCCATTGTTGAGTCCTCCACAATCAATATCCTGCTGCTTACTATCGACTGAAAACTGAACTGGACAAGCACATAAACACTGTAGCTACAAAGACAAGTTAGACTCTAGGGATTCATAGGTGAGTAACTCATTTCCTCGGAGGCTCAGAGACCACTTTGTAGAGCACCTGCGCTCTGTTCGCGACAAACAACACCTTCCTGTCAGGAACCACTTCAACTCCCCCTCCCATTCCCTGAGCAACATGTCCATCCTGGGCCTCCTCCAGTGTCATAATGACGTCACCCAGAAACTGGAGGAGCAGCACCTCATATTCTGCCTTGGGAGCCTCCAACCCAAAGGTCTCAATGTGGACATTACCAGTTTCAAAATCTCCCCACCCCCGGTCTCAGCCCATGACCAACCCTCCCTCTCATCCCCGCTTCCTTGACTTGATACAACCTGTCCATCTCTCTCCCACCTATCCGCTCCTCCGACCTCACTGACCAATCCCCACCACTGCCTACCTGCACACAACTATCACCATCCTACCTACCTTCCCCAGTCCCAGCCCTCCTCTCCCTATTTATTTCGGAACTCCCTTCCCCCTCCCCCATTTCTGAAGAAGGATCCCCACCCGAAACATCAACTTTCCTGCTCCTCTGATGCTGCCTGGCCTGCAGCACTCCTCCAGCTCCAGACTGTGTTATCACCGACTCAACTAGATTTCTTCAACAGGACTTTGTAAACCCCTAACCTATGTCACCTGGAGAAGGAATCACAAATGGATACAGCTTGAAATCCTGGAATTCAATTTTCTAATGGCATTGTAGGTGTAACTGTACCAGATGGTTTAAAATGGCACTCACCAACACCAACACCAACAAATGCTGGCCTTGCCACAGACACCCACATTTATAAAAGAATAATAAAATCTAAACAGATGGATAATGAATCACTATTGACATTACAGTGTTTTAAACCACTTGCACCATTACTCACTAATAGAGTTATATAACATCTTCTGTATCATAAGACATTCCAAGGAACTTCACATGAGCCTAATCAAACAAAATTTGACATTCAGCCACATTCGTAGTATTGGGGGAGTTGACCAAAAACTTGATCAAAGAAGTAAGCTTTAAGGGCTATGTTTGAGGAGGCAGTGCAGTAGAGAGGCAGAGAGAGAGAACTCAGGCAGTTAAAAGTGTAGCCACCAGTAAAAAAATTAAAATTGGCAACTAGTGCAGTTGAGAGATTTAGAAGGGCTCGTGGACAAGTGGAGGTGACAGAGGAAAGAAAGGGTGAAACCTTTGTTCATGGATAGGTACTCAAGAATCACTGAAATCCCCACTATCAACATCCTTGAGGTCACCAAAAGAACTGCGGATGCTGTAAATCAGGAATGAAAACAGAAGTTTCTGGAAAAGCTCAGCAGGTCTGGCAGCATTTGTGAGGAAAAAATCAGAGTTAATGCTTCGGGTCTGGCGACCCTTCCTCAAAACTCAGTTCTGCAGCAAATAACTCACCGCCTGACTCCCCAAAGCCTGTCCGCCATCTGCAAGACACAAGTCAGGAGTGTGATGGAATACTCCCCATTTGCCTGAATGGGTGCAGTTCCAACAGCACTCAAAAAGCTTGATACCATCCAGGGTGAAGCAGCCCGCTTGACTGGCATTGCATCCACAAGCACCCACTCTCCACCACGATGCTCAGTGCTATCTACAAGACACGTAGCAGAAATTCACCAAAGGTTCTTAGATATCACGACCCCTTCCAGTCAGAAGGGCAAGGGCAGCAGATACATAGGAAGACCACCACCTGCAAGTTCCCTTCCAAGCCACTCACTGTGCTGACTTGGAAATATATCATCATTCCTTCCCTGTCACTGGGTCAAAAATCCTGGAATTTCCTCCCTAATGTCATTGTGGGTCAACCTACAGCATATGTGGACTGCAGTGTTCAAGAAAGCAGCTCACCACCACCTTCTCAAGGGCAACTAGGGACGGGCAATAAATGCTGGCCAGCCAGCAATCCCCATGTCCCGTGAATGAATACAGTCATAGATATACACAGCACGGAAACAGATCCTTTGGTCCAACTCGTTCATGCCAACCAGATATTCTACATAAATCTAGGCCCATTTGCCAGCATTCGCTTTATATCTGCTCGTACATCCAGATGCCTTTTAAATGTTGTAATTATACCAGCCTCCACCACTCCCTCTGGCAGCTCATTCCATACACGCACCATCCTCTGCGTGAAAAAGTTATTCTTTAGGTCTGTTTTATATCTTTCCCCCCTCACTTTAAACCTACGCTCTCTAGTTTTGGATTCCCCTACCCTGGGGAAAAGACCTTGCCTATTTACTCGATCCATTCCTCTCATGATTTTATAAACCTCTGTAAGGTCACCCCTCAGCCTCCGACGCTGCCAGGGAAATAGCTCCAGCCTATTCAGCCTCTCCCTGTATTTCAAACCCTCCAACACTGGCAACATCCTCATAAATCTTTTCTGAACCCTTTCAACATCCTTCCTATTGCAGGGAGACCAGAATTGCACGCAATACTCCAAAAGTGGCCAAACCAATGTCCTGTACAGCTGCAACATGACCTCCCAAATTTTATACCCATGCACTGACCAATAAAGGCAAGCGTACAAATTGCCTTCTTCACTATTCTTTCTACCTTGACTTTCAAAGAACTATGAATCTGCCCTCCAAGGTCTCTTCATTCAGCAACACTTACCAGGACCTTACCATTAACTGTGTAAAAGTCTTGCCCTAATATGCCCTTCCAAAATGCAGTACCTCACATTTATCTAAATTAAACGCCAACTGCCACTCCTCGGCCCATTGGCCCATCTCATCAAGATCCTGTTGTACTCTGAGGTAACCTTTCCTGTCTACTATACTCCAATTTTATTGTCATCTGCAAACTTACTAACCATACCTCCGATGTTCACATCCAAATCATTTACGTAAATGACAAAAAGCAGTGGACCCAGCACTGATCCTTGTGGCACACTGCTGGTCTCAGGCCTCCAGTCTGAAAAGCTTCCCTCCACCACCATTATAATAAAAAGAATGGAAAATAAAACAGCAATGTTTTTCATCATTAAAACTTGACAGCATGATAGAGATAACAAGGTGTACAGCTGGATGAACACAGCAGGCCAAGCAGCATCAGAGGAGCAGGAAAGCTGACGTTTCAGGCCTAGACCCTTCTTCAGAAATGGGGGAGGGGAAGGGGGA